GGCATTGTAAAGTGGTATTAATACTTCACGTGATCTTGATTCTATCCCTCTGTTAATGCAGCCCAGCACTGTGTTGGCTTTTTTGGCAGCTGCAGCACACTGCTGGCTCATATCTAAGTGATTGTCCACTAGGACTCCGAGATCCCTCTCACAGTTACTACTATTGAGCAAGGTACCCCCTATACTATACCTGTACATTATACCCCCTATACTATACCTGTACACTATACCCCCTATACTATACCCCCTATACTATACCTGTACACTATACCCCCTATACTATACCTGTACAGCTAGTGTGCCTGGCTGAGGAATTCTGGGAGTTGAAGTCAACAAGTCATAAAAGGGCCAAGTTTGAAGACCCCTGGGTTAGAAGATCTCCGAAGTCCCTTCCAACTCTGTTATTCTGTTAAATATCACTAGTTCTACCTTGGGTAGTTTTAAAAAAATGGAAGAAAGCAGTGATAAATTCCAGCCATTGCTGTTGTGATAAAAAGTGTGTAGATTTTTCAATGTCATAATCAGGAACCCAGTTGGTCTTCAAGGCAGCTTTAGCAACTACTATACCTGTATGTCAATTTGCGGAAAGCTAAGGGCTGCCAGTATTTGTATGGTTCATATATCACAGAGATTGCTTGACCAGATAATCAAATTGCATTTCCAGCTGCAATTGCAACTGAAAGCTGGTGTAATATCATCAGTGATCACAAGGACCTTTGAGTGTACAGTGCAAGCTTGCATTAACCCAAGACCATACTTTGCTTTGCACATGTACATGACAGCGTAAATGTTGGTTTAGTCTATGCTTAGATGGACTGTGCACTCCTTTACTATTTTAACTCAATACCTGCACTGGAGATATCCATGTTTTGATGTGTCTGATGTATGTCCATATCCACAAATACATATCACTAGCATTTTTTTCTAGTGCAAACATTTTCTTGAGACTAGGCAGAGAAATATTACTTATCTCTCTTTAAAAATGAAACAATCTTGAAAACTGCAAAATGATCTTTCTGAGCTCAGAAAGAGAGAAAAGATTAGGAGTTAAACATAGCATTAGCACTTCTAAACTATCTCCAAATATTCTAGATTTTATGTTCCTCTTTTATTCAAGCACAGGATGAAAATTGTCATAATAAGATATTAATTCTCCTGTTTCCTCCTGCCCCTTCCCAAAATGAAACTCGTGTACATTCAGTAAAGTCTATTCTGGACTAAGAACATAAGGCTTCTTTGCTTTTTCATCAACAGCAATTAC